GAAAATGCCCAATGAGTTGGGTTGATACACTAGTTACAACAACAGGTTCAAACATTAAAATAAATTGTGAGGATGGCACAATGTTTCATTCTGTTTACATAGCAGCTAACTCAACTGCCCCTAACAAACCATTACTATAATCTTTAACAGTGTTAAGAGAACTTACCTAAGATAACTGGTAGTGTAGTGGGCTAAATATTGAGCGGCCAACTCAAGGTCAGCAGTTCAAACCCACTAGCCACTCTGAGGAACGAGAGTGAGGTTGTCTATTTCAGTAAATATTTACAGGCTCGAAAACTATATATAGGGTAACTATAAATTGGAATCAACTCAATGGCTGTGAGCACAAGTGTATTATGGAATATGGTGCTTTGTATATGAAGACATGTCAATTTGCAGTATTGGTCACTGTGTTAGGCCGGGTTGACTAGAGAAACAAACCCAGCAACATTCATGTGCATAAGTGAGAGCTTTGTGTAAAGAGCAATTGTATATTGAGAAAACATCCCAGTCCAGTCCAGATCAAGCTTATAAGTTCAATATTAGCCCATAAGTCCCTCTTCGGATTCACAAGGTCACATGCAATGATGCAGAATGCAGGAAGATCACAGGCTGGTGGGTGCAAAGTCTTGTAGATCCAGTGGCAGTGGGTGCATCTCCAGGACTCTGGCCACCATCAATGTGGCTCCATGTGTCTTGTCAACAGGAAGGTAAAGTAGAGAGTGTGTCCCACCTCCAGGGAGGAAGAGAGGAAGTTCCCAGAATTTTCATGAGGAGGCCACACCTACAAGGAGCGATCATCAGGCTGTACCTGCTTCACAGGTAGACTCCACCCCTTCTTTCTTTTATCAAGTTGACATGAAATTGTGTAACTACCACATTGACCAAAGGGAAAAAACATGAAGGTTTTTTGGTATTGTTTTTTTTCTCTCTCTCTCTGCAGAAACCAAGCTCCTTTCCACTGAAGTACATATTTGAGGCTTCCACTCATTTAGATATTGACCCCTGTCTTGCACATTGCATCCTGTCAACCAGATTAGTAACCCAACCCATACATGAAGTGATGTATCAGGTCTATTATAACCACTTGATGACATGATCCACCTTTGAGTGTTACAAGTAAATTATAATTATAAGGTTGGTCAGAATTACAGTATCTTTTCCCTTCGTTTTACAGGTATTGTATGCACATTAAACAATTTTTTAAAACATAGAAGAGTGTACAGGAGAAAATTAAATGATCTATTCCTTCACATGCCAGTATGTTAATATTTGTATTTATTTTTGTAGCTTTTCAAAACTCACACACACATTCTCATTTGTGGTATAGGCTCCCACTTGTCTTTCTGATAAATTCCTCTTCCGTTTTGTGAGAAAGTCCTCTTCTTTCTTTGTCTTACATGCCATTGCTGCTGTGCGCTGTCCAGGTGATTCTGACTCAGAGTGACCCTTTAAGACAGGCAGAGCTGCCCAGAGCCTTGCCCAGGCTGTGATCTTTACCTCCGTGGCGCGGCTGGCGGGTTCCATGAGTGTCCTTTTGCTTAGTGCTGAGTGATAACCATTGTACACACCACCAGCACACCAGATGCCTGCACTGAGCCATCAGGTACCTGAAACATGCTTTTAAATGGCTTCGTTATTCAGATGTACTATAACTTGCACTGGCATTCTAGGTCATTTCTTCGATGTAATTTTAAGTTCTGAATCACTTCTATGTCACAATAGTATCTCATTGTGTAGTTCTTAAGCTTAGACCCAAACCCGTTCCCATTAAGTCAATTGTGATTCGTAGCAACCCTATAGGACAGAATGAAACAGCTCCCTGGGTTTTCCCAGACTTTAACTCTTCACAGCACCATCTTTTACCTGTGTAGCAATGGATTTGAACCACTGACCTTGTGAAAGCAGCCCAGTGCTTAATTTGTTATGTTACTAGTTTCCTAAGCTTATCAAATTCTGACTCATAGCGACCCTATAGGACAGGGTAAGTCCCTATAGCACTGTGTGTTTCTGAAACTAGCTCTTTACGGGAGTAGAGAGCCTTGTTTTTCTCCCTCGGTGGTTTCAAACTGCTGACCTTGCTGTTAGCAGCCCGCTGCATATCCACTACAGCACCAGGGCTATAGCACCTCTGTAGACCCTATAGAAAATAGAACTGCCCCTTTGGGTTTCCAAGGCTGTGAATCTTTATGGGAGCAGACAGCCTCGTCTTTCTCCGGTGGAGTGGCCAGCGGTTTTGAACCACTGACTGTGCCGAGTGAGAGGTAGCACAACCTTGACAGTCATCACGGGCTTGTGAGCAGCAGCTGCCAGTGCAGTTCACCTGAGACAAGCAGGCCCACGGGCATCATGTTCAGGTTTCCCAGGAGTGGTGGCTGGTCTGTATCTCTTAGATATAGGTGTTGGCATCATACTAGTAAACTACTCCCAAAAACCAAAGTGTCTCCCCGTTCTCTCTCTCCTGGCTGATCTGGGCTGGCTCTTAGCCGTTGGTTCCAGGTTCCCAGACCTATCCCTGCAGATAAAATTAGGATCAATGTACCTTTCGTGCTGCAAGTTTAAAAAAAAGCAGCTGGGAATGTTACTAAAGCAACAATTCCACTTTCTCCTGAGCAGGCTTGTTTGAGGAACTGGATCAAACAGGTGCCCTGAGTGCTTCTGAATGTTCGGCCCCATGGTTTGCAGGGCTTTGTGTCCGAGCCGATTGGAATCTCGGACGAAATCGTGCACGAACAACAAGCTTGTCTGAGGATGAACTCCCTGGCACGTCACTGCATCCGGGGGACAGTTTCCTTGGCGTGAGGCCTTTGTAGTCACATAGGACCCTCTGCTTACAGGGACCCTCGCTTGGTGTCACTTTTTTTTTAAAGATCATTTTATTGGGAGCTCTTACAACTCTTATAACAATCCACACATCAATTATATCAAGCATATTTGTGCATCTGCTGCCATCATTCTTTTTCTAGACATTTACTTTCTATTGAGCCCTTGGTATCAGCTCTTCTTTTTTCCGTCCTGCCTCCGCTCCCCCTTGGTGTCCACATTTTATTATCAGCATCATGGATTTCCTAAGATTTTTTTATAACAAGGGGACCTGCATTTTCATCAAGCACTGAATCCCACAGGATGGTAGATCCTGACTGGGGTGAAAAGAAAGTATTGGGGGGAAAATATATATATATATAATCTTTTGAACGAATCTGTCTCAGACACTTTACCAACGAGAAGGAAAAATCAGTGCCAACTGCCTCCTTTTCGGCAGGAAACGTCCTGTGGGACTTTAAGAGACCGTCTTGCAGGGATAACTGGAGCAGCTCCTGGATGCCGCAGCCCTGGAAGGTGCCTGGGAGCTCAGAGCAGCGCAGGACTAACAGGCTGCAGGACAAAGCCTTGCCAGACACAATGCCCCGGAGCTGTCTGCTGCTCGTGCCTTTAGGTAAAAGCCAGGCTGTGCCTCATCCATTGAGGAGGGAAACAGTGCCAGCCAGGGTCCTTTGTTTCCTTTTGAGCTGTATCTTTCTGGCTATTTGTACAAGCTGCCATTTCTGGTAGCCTGTGGCGGGGAGAGAGAGGATGCCTCTTTTAGCCTTGTCATCCTGCCCCTCCCAGTGGAAGTCCCTCTGTAAGCAGAGCCTGGATCCTCTGTGGAATTGCCTAATACTCAAATTCCCAGTGCCTGCTGGGAGAAATGGACAACAAAACCCCATACTTCTCTCCTGTTCTTGTCCCACTGAGATAGGATTTTGTGGAGTGTTATTTTAGTTTACATTGTGTGAACAGCTGTTGTTTTGATTTGTTTTGCTTTTTTTCCTTTTTCCAAAGACAAAGTTCCCGAATCCATGTCCTTTTAAAAACTATACAGGATGCTGATAAACTCTCCCGGGAAAATGACTGCCCCAGAGCCTCCCATTCCCTAACGTAGTTCTAGTGAGAGTGCCAATTTATGAACGATTTATTACCATTCTGCCAGGAGCTAGGAACAGAGATTGGGAATAATCCATTAAAACCTCTAGGAGCAGTTTGCCTGTATCTTATCTGTTTGCTTGTATCTTATATGTATTCCATATTATATACAGTGAACCCTCGTTTATCGCGGTTAATCGGTTTTAGACCCTACCGTGATAAATGAAATTCCGCGAAGTAGGATTCCTTATTTGTAAATCAAATATTTTCGTAGTTAGAGCATAGAGGACATGGAAAAACACCCTTTAGTCACCATTACACTCGTATTACCCAATTTATTAAACGAAAAAGGGAAAATACAGTAAAACATTTTGGACGTTACAATTATCATTTGTTATTTATTATATTATTTATGGCATCAAGCGTGTACAGTATGAGCCAATCAGTGGCAGTAATGACAGAGCATGCGCTGTTACGCAAAAACCGCGATAGAGTGAAGCCGCGGAAGTCGAAGCGCGAAGTGGCGAGGGTTCACTGTACATTTAAAAAAAAAATTATATGTACCATAGTGTACAAGTAGAGGACCAGTGACAAAGAGGAAGACGGTCAATGTATGGACTGACACATGGCTGCAACAGTGGCGGTTTTGAGGATGGTGCTGGGCTGGTCGATGGTTCTCTCTGTTGTGCGTGGCTCGCTAAGCATCAGAACCAACTCAACAGTACTTGAAAACACCACCACCGTACTGGACAAAGGTATCTGTCAGTCTGTCACAGAATGGGTGGGGGGGGGGGAAGCAAGCAAGCAATCAAAAACTGGGTCCTGATCACATAGTGTGAGAAACCCTGTCCTATCTGACAGCGTCAACCACGTGTGTCTCTACAACCAGGCTTCCCACGAACTCCTCTGTATTTTACAAGTGGCCATGATTGCACATGTGCCTGTAGTAGGACGAGCTCTTGCTGCGTAAGCAAAGGGTAGTCTTTTAAGCAGCCAAGATAGACGTACAATTGGAATGGTTGATGTTGAGAAGAAAGCCTTGTCCATGAGCTACTTGTTTTCCAGGACCCATATTGAGAGGCCATTTTGACCTAAAGATGCTGGTGTGGCGGGAGAACGGCTGGTGCTTACGGAAACGAAAGTGCTCTCAGACATTGCAGGTAGACGCTTTCCCTTCTGACCAGGGGTCCCTACACTTGAGAATATCTGTTAGAGTCTTTGAGGTTCTGAAGCAGAAGACGGATTGCCCGGTGTCTAGCCACACGCACACCCTCCAACAAATCTTCCCCTGCCCCCCAACTCCATACACAGAGAAAAACCGCTGTCATGATTCTCTCACACACGACGTAGCTGACCAACGTTAGCCCACGTGCCCCTTCACATGGTTCAAGTTGACACTGTGAACTCAGGCTCATGGGTCTGGAGCTGGTCCTCACCTGGCCGGGCCAGCTCTGGCCCTCCTGGCTGTACAGGCGGTTTTGTAATGTCTTGCCTAGCCCCTCTGGAGTGCAAACCCAGAGTGTACTGATCTGCGTCTTGGGCATAAAGGGTTTAAATGGGATTTTCTTGCTTTTGGTCAACAACTGCAAATTTCTTTCCAAAGGTAGAAAAATAGACTTGCTCTTTGCCTCGGTATTTCTGCTTTTAATCTAGTTTAATTCCAGATAAATCTCAACAGTAATTTTTTTTTCCTCAACAGTAATTTAAAAGAGCCAAAGTACTCCTGACCTTAGAGAAATGGTTTCCCCGTGGTAAAACATCTCAGATGTGAGCTTGATCTGCGTTACCTTACACTACTGGAGATGGGACTGCCTAGTCTTCTTTTTCTCCCTGGTTGTAAGATTCTTAGAAATTTTAAATTATGGAAAACAGGAGCCCTGCTGGTACTGGTGCCTAGATGTTGGGCTGCTAGCTGCAAGGTTGGACGTTCAGACCCACCAGTTGCCACCCGGCGAAAGACGGGTTTGTCTGCCCCTGTTCAGATCTGCAGTCTGAGACGCCCTATGTGGGGGGCCCATGTGCTGCAATCGACTCCATGGCAATCGGTTTGGTTTGGGTTGGCCATGTATTGGGTATTCGTATACAAGGATGGAAAAGTCCTGCAGATAGTTTTTGGTTTCTCCCAATGTCCATCGAGTTGGAAACTCTGTGGCCCGTGTTGTAAATATTCATCACGCTTAGCTGGGCATTCTTTTAGGCTTGAAGAATCCCCAAGGAAAGAAAACTGTCTCTGCCATCACAGGGCTCACAGTCTAATGAGGAAACGGTACCTTTTTTTAAAAGCAGACAACAATGGGCAAACGACTTTGGCATTCTAAACTGCAAGGCAGATGCCAGAGTGCAGAAAAGGGCATCGTTACCATCAGGAGATTTGAGGGTGAGGGGTGCATTGCCTGTTGAGGGGATAGGAGAGTGCTGAGAGAAAGAGCAAATGAGTTAGGGGAGCCCTTCTAGTCAACGGCATTGGGGCCATAGCTGGCCTCCTCTGACTCACTTGTGGGCTCACAGTAGGGTTAGATATGCTTTCCCTCTCCAGCCTTCCTCGTCTCTTCTGATACCAGCGTGCCTCCCAGGGCATTCTACTTCTGGGTGGTATTTTATAACTCGGTGCAGTGGCCACACAGAGCGCACAGACGACCCTCGTCATTAAGGGGGGTTATTAAGGGAGTCATTAGGCCCCCACAAGTGAGGATCAGTGAACAGTAAAGATACAGTTCGATTCACAGCAACATTTCTCCTTAGCCGCAGCCAAGTCTCGTTGGTCCTCAGTGTTTTAGCCACATGGCCCCCTGGCCTTTGCCTCCCTGAACCTGGAAGCCAGGCTGTGGTTTCAGCTCCGAGACCCATCGCCTCAGCAATTCTCCTTTTGCTCTGCCCCATAGTCTCTGTGCCACATCTCTGGTGCCTCTGATTTGGCCTCTAACACTTCAAAGATCTCTCTTGGGCATGAACTTGGGCCTTCTTTCTCTGGGTCTGAAGTCTCTGCTACACAGAGGAATGCCGTTGATGGAGGTGTAGCTTTTGCCTTTGACCCTACCATACTCCCAAGGAAGACAAAACAAAGGGTGGTGTCTTAAGTCATGGCCTCAGGGGAAAAAGCAAAGTCTAAAAGTGCCTCTGGGAAGCCCAGGGTGTGAAGAAGTGGGCCCCGTCTACAAAGGCCAGGACTTAGCATCCTTGATCCTGTGCCTTAGAAGAGCGAGCACGCCTTCCAACCTGGGGCCACATTCCTAGACACCGAGCCCAGAATGGCGACACAGCACATGAGGATCGTCGTTAGATGGGCCATGTTAATGGACTGCATCTTACCCTTGACCTGGATTTTGAAGGAAATAGAAGTTTCAAAGGAAGAAACTATGAAAGGTCACTGGAGACAAGAAAAAGGGCTTCTGCAAAGCCTTGCATGTGTACATACAACGTCTCATATTTGAGATGGGCAACATTGCATACTACTGACTTGGAGAGTTTGTGGAGAGACAGGTGTTTGTTATTGTTGTTGTTAGGTGCCACCAGGTTGGTTCCTGATGAAACGCTGCCTGGTCCTCCACCGTCTTCACAGTTGTTCCTGGGTTTGGGTCCGTGGGTGCATCCCCTTGAGGGCTTTGCTCTTCTTCGCTGCCCCTCTGCTTCATCAGGCATGATGTCCGTCTCCAGGGATGGGTCTCCGACCAATGTGTCCAAAGCACCGAAATCTTGCCATCCTTGCCTAGTCAGAGAATAAACTGGGCCAACCCCTTTTGTACTTTTACAGGTTGTAGTCAGACTTTAAAGCATGATGAAGAAGTCTTGTACACAGAAGAGGCTTGTCACTTCCACTTGGACAAACCATTAGAAATGGGATATCGTTTCCAGAGGCCATCAAGTTGCTTCAGCCCACAGTGACCCATGCACAACGGAAGGCAGCACCGCCCACCCTGTCTGCCCTCACAGTTGTTCCTGTGTCTGAGCCCATTGAGGCGACCACTGTGTCCATCCTTCGCCTTGAGGACCACCTTCTTTTTTGCTGCCCGCCCGCTTACCAAACTGTTATCTGTCTCCAGGGACTGGTCTCTCCTGACAACATGTCTAAAATATGTAAGACCAAGTCTTGCCATCCCGGCCTCTAAGGAGCACTCTGACCTGACTTCTTCCAACACAGAGCTGTTTGTCCTCTTGACCATCCGTGGTACTTGCAATATTCATCTCCAGCACTATATTAGGAATATGGGGATGTTATAATGTATGTATATGCTAGAATCTTGCATTCAGAATGAGTGGATCAGATTTACAAATACAATCGGATAAAAATATAAGTAGCTCAACAGTATCTATTGTTTATCATTAATGTGAATTCAAAATACACATGAGTATAAAATCTATTTGCATGTACATCACAGGGAAATAAAAGTATAGGGATCAGAGTCGGGGGGAGTACAAAACAAGCTGAGAATGATGAAGGGAGAGGGAGAGACAGGATTGAGGAGGCACAAAATCAGACAAAGACCCAAACCACCACACATCTGACTCCTAGTGACCCTGTAGAACAGTGGATAACTGCTCCGGTGGGGGGGGGGGGGGGGGGGGGGTCGGAAGGACTGGTTACAAGTTAGGATGCTAAACACAAGATTAGTAGTTTGAAAACACCAGCCGCTCCGTGGGGGGAAAGATAAGACTTTCTACTCCTCTGAAGAGTTACAGTCTTGGAAACCAGTTCTCCCCTGTCCTGTGTGGTTGCTGTGGGTGAGAATTGACCCCATGGAAGTGAGTTGGGGGGAGGGGGGTTCCTGACACTGCAAATCTTTGCAAGAGATTTTCTTGCAAAATCTCATCTTTCTTCTCTGGAGTGACTGGTGGGTGCGAACCTCTGACCTCATGAGTTGGCGACCTCATGCTTAACCCATAGAGCCACCAGGGCTCCTGAGGAGGCACAAAGGGGGGGGGGCCTTTATTATGTCTATTGTTTTTCTCTTAAAAAATGAATTTGAAGCAAATTGGAGAGGATGTTAACAATCCCGAGTGTTGGTAGTAAATATCTTTTTTAAGTTCCTAGACTCTTCTGTAGTTTGGGACACTTTTATTTGAAAGGTAGATATAGTACATATCAGACACAGCACATACCTACACTCTAGTTTGTATCATTATCCCCAGGGCAGAAAATGGCTACGAAACTGACCACATTGTTGAGTCGATGCCTGGGGTGCTCCGCCGACCACTCTGCGCAACTTTGTAGTCTCTGCCTGGTCTCTGGCTGCCTTCCTGGATGTCAGAGGCTCTCAGAGGAAATGCAGGATCTTCAGGCTCAGGCCAGTTTTAGCTTTCATGTGATCCAAAGAGATCCCTCTGCAGATGGACAAGCAAGTCCTTTGTGCTCAGCACTCTGCCTAGGGACCCCTCTGCCCCCTGCCCCCCTGAAAAGCTCCGACGAATTATAGTGTTTTCTGAATCTCCTTAGCGCTCTGCCTAGGAGTCCCCCCCCACCCCCCACCCCTCCGTGAAAAGCTCCAAGGAATCACAGTGTTTTCTGAATCTCCTTGAGAGCGCCACACGCCTGCAGGAAGTAGATGCAGCAGCGTTAGCATGAGGGCTGTCATGTAAGGTGACTGGAAAGTGTTTGACACCCGAAATAGCTGTGACTGAAGCGGCTGCGGAAACAGCGCTTTGTGTGGGAAATCAGGAAGAGGTTCAGTATTTTGACACCCATTATAGGGGTCTGAGTAATACGACTCCTAAGAAAATCCCGATGGACGTTTGACTTATTTATTTATTTGGTATGTTCTTCTAAAGCCGTTTTCTACTGCATAGTGTTCTGTCGGGACAGCCGGTACAGGAAGAGCGCTTTTCTTTCTGCCCTGGAAGCTCACTCCTTGTGTCAGCAGAACTCAGGATTTACATTTACAATTACTATTTAATTTTCAAAACGTATCAAATATGGTCTCTTCTTCAAGCGTGCGTGCAGCCCTTCCCATGTTCAGAGCAGCATAGGGCTGATAGGTCCTAAAGGGTCCCTGGGCCTCTGCCACCCAGGAGCTCTGAGCCTGTGCAGAGGCGAAGACCCGGAGGTGGGGGCGAGGGGGTTGGGGGCACTGTGAGATGACAGGACTAGGCCTGACTGGGCAGCTTTAGGAGGGAAAGCAGAGGGAGCTTCACCGAGAGGTGACGTTGCATAGGCCACTGTGTTCATGCATCTTGGTAAGAGCCTTCCTTTCTCTCTGGACCCCTGGACTTGCTGTAGCATGAGGGAATCTCCTCCGTTGCTAGCCAACTGCCTACCTCAATTTCCAGTCGTGACTTTTGTCTGCATGTCCAGGGCCTTACGGTTTCAGACGGTTTTTGCCAAGATGTTCTCTCTTGGTGTGTGCCTTTGGGTGTTGTCAGGCGCTCTGGGAGGGTCAGCACTGCCGTGGCTAACTGTGCCGTGGCCATTGGAAACGTCCGGCTGTTTCCCAGGAGAAAGAGGAGGCTTTCGACTCCTGTAAAGAATCAGCCGTCTCTGAAGCCTGCGAGGGCAGCTCTGCTTCATTCTACGGGGTCCCTGTGAGTCAGAGTCAGCGCATGGCAGGAGTTTGGTTTAGAGGAAGAAAGAGGTTCTCCTCTTGCTGGGTGTTCCCGAGTTGATGCCAGCTCAGAGCACCCCCTGGGACAGTGTGCAGTGGACCCTCTCCACTCCGCAGGGGTTCCAGGTGCGAGCGGAGTCTCCCTTGGAGCGACCATGGAGCTCTGAATCCCCAATCTTTTGATTATCGTCTGAGTGCTTAACCATGGAGCTACCAGGATCCCGAACACGCAGGAGAGTGAAAAAGAGCAAGAGCCTCGACAAGATGGATTGACAGCGACAAGATGGATTGACAGCGACAAGATGGATTGACAGCGGCTGCAGCCACGGGCTGGAACGTCACCACCGTTGTGAGGATGGCGCGGCGCTGGGTGGTCTTCGGCTCTGCTGTACTGAGGGTCGCTGTGGGCCGGAGCCGACTCACCTGCACCTGACAACAGTCTCCTGTCTGTGCGTCACGTGAAAACATGTCAGCATGAGCCCTGCCTTGGGCAGGGCTGGATCTGTTGCTGTTCATCGGCATCGTAGAGGAGCTTGGTGGCACTTGTTGTGACTGCACATTCAGGGCTGGTGGAAGTGGCCTTGACTCCGACGCCCTCGCCTCGGCCCTCCCCCGTCTGCTTGCTGTACTACGGTGGCCTGTGCGCTGCTGCGCTGCGGAAAGCCAGCCCACCACGCTCTTCTACACGCCGGCCGCGACATCCGTGCTGTGCGGGTTTCCGCCAAGCTTTCAGGCTGAGGCAGGCTCGGAAGAAAGGCCCGGCCATCCACTCCCGCAAATCACCAAGGACCTCCCTAAGGGCCACAACAGAACGCCGTGTGACTCGGTGGCTTTGGACATGCCCGCAGGAGGGATTCGCCATGTTCGGGGAAGCAGAGGGTCGACCACGGGTGGGAGACCGTTGAGGAGACAGATGAGCACGGCGGGCTCGGGGACAGAGTGGAGCCTCCTGGGAGTGATGAGGGTGATGCTGGGACTTGTTCATAAAGCCGTCATGGCGCAGAGTCAATTCAACAGCAACACACCACCCAAACTGTGGGCGCTCCCTAAACCCAGACCGAAGTCTGTGGGCCTTGGCATCAACACGGGGGCCTCACACTCAAATCATTTCCAACATTTTGTTTTTAATGTTTGATTCAGAAAAAAGAGGGGAGACAACCAGTTCTCATGGCAATTGTGTTTCTATTTCGAATTAGGGTGTCTTTAGCAGCAGGCACGGTTTTCTTCCCAGAAGAGCCCTGGAAGAAGGCCGGTTTTCTCAGCGAGGACTATTTTCTATTCTTTTGAATGAATACATGGAGGGGCGTCAAGATGTTCCCGGGGAAATTCCATTCGCTTTGAATTCCGTTTTCCCCACAAACTGTGTGACACCCCATATTGGTACAGAAAATGGAAAAGTAATTTTGGGTCTTTGCACCAAACCATTGTCAAGGGTCCCCGGTGGTTAGTGGGTTGCTTGTTGGACTGCTAACCACGAGGTCAGCAGTTCAAAACCACCAGTTGCTCCGTGGGAGAAAGACGAGGCTTTCTAATTCTGTAGAGTTAGTCTTGGAAACCCACAGGGACAGTTCTAGCCTGTCCTTATGGGGTCGCTGTGAGTCAGAATCGACTCGATGGCAGTGAGGTGTTTTGTGTTTTTTTAGGTGATTAGAGAAAGGAAACAAAACATGCAGATAAATGTGTGTGGTATTTTGGTGAAATCTGCCCTTTGAAAATCGCTGCTCTCTCTAAGAAATTTATTTTTAATGTATTTCATACAAGGCAGAGCAAAGCAAATGAACTAATTTCCACGTTGGGCTAAATCTCTCGCTCTCTCGCGTTCCCTCTCTCTCACACACACACCCCTCTCTCTCTCTCTCTCTTTCTCTCTCACACACACACACTTCCCGTTTGTTCGGGTCCGCTAATGGCCACTGTGGTCTGGAATGACTCTAAGTGAGCCCCATGCCCTTGGACAGAGACCAAGGGCAACTATAGTGCTTCCCTTGCGTAGGCTTTTTGAATAATAGTCGCAGCTCAGGGAGGCAAGTGCTTTTTATCCCCACTTTACAACCAAGGAAATCACAGCACTGAGAGGTAGATGGCCTGCCCCGCTCACAGAGCTGGTGCTGCCAAAGCCGGAACAGGAAGTAGACGCTTCTGATCGTGGTTTTCTTCCTGGATTCCACGCTGCCACAGCATTCATGTACAGAGTGGGGTGGGGTGGGCGGTGGGAGATGACTGTCAATCGTATTGTGTTGGCACATTGCTTCAGGGGTCCCCATGACTCGATGGCAACTGATGATTGTGCTGGTGGACCCCATGTGGTCAGTTTGGGTCCAAGACTACATGTTATTATAAGATTACACCTCAAGAGATCCTGGCCACCTTGTGATTTGGATTCAACAGAGCATCATGGGAAGGCACTGAACATAAAGTTTTCCTGGGTGCAATTTCCTTTCAACAGGAAGACTAGGACCTCACCCCCCACCCCCACCCCACCCCGTATCTAAACCACCATCAGGTCCATCACAAAGGCATCCACAATAGAGATGCAATTCAGGAAAGAATAAGGTTAAATGGGCCTTGGCAGGTTCTAGACAGGGTGCCTCACATGTAGATCATTCCAACCACCTAATAGCCCCTTAAAATAAGCACCTCACTGTCATCAGGCTGATTCTGACAAGGTGCAACTACTCCTGTAGGTTTCCAAGACTATAACTCTTGGCAGGAGTAGAAAGCCTCGTCTTTCTCATGAGGAGTGGCTGTGGTTTTGAACTGCTGACCTTGTGGCAAGCAGCCCAATGTGTCTTCACTGCCACACCAGGACTCCTGCCTCATTGCCCCTATGTCCTGTTTGAATCAGTCTTCAAGAACAGCGTTGTGATAGTGATATCTCCACTTTGCAATTGAGAGAACCAAGATTTGGGGGAGAAAAATGTCTTGCCAGAAGATTATAGAACCAGCTCGGGTTTCACCTTGACCTCCGGTTCCAGCCCTGCTCTGTGTGCGGTTCTGTGTGCTGGCTTTAGCAGAACCACGGGCATTTAATTTCTGTGACACTTTGGCATTCCTGCTGTAAGGAGGATCCGCTTTTTCAGATCTTGCAGAGTTTGAGCCTGGGCTGTTGGAGTGTGGGCATCTCTGGTGCTCAGTGCCAACTCAGTGTAGCTCAGGGGGCACAGCTTCCTGGAGGGAAAACCATGAAGGGGTCTTAAAAGAAGTGGTCACTGATGTGCCTCCCTGTTTGGACATGTCAGTTGGGAACCTTTTACTGTTACGACTGTACCTGAAATCTCGGCTTGAAGTATCGAAGGTGGATCTCTGCATGAGAACTAGGCTTGTGCATCCCCTGTAACCCACGATAGTACAGCCATGTGACCAACAAGCGCACCTGGTCGGCCCGGGAAGACGTTGCCTCAGAAATAGTTTCCCGCTGGACACACCAAGCTGCCATCTGCTCTTAACAACCCCCCTTCCCCCCAAAAATAACCCTTTCTAATTGGGAGCTACTATAGCTATCATGTCATCCCATAGTTCAATTACATCAAGCTGTATTGTACAATTGCTACCACAATCTGTTTAAAAACATTCTCTTTCTTCTTGAACTCCTAGATATCAGCTCCCCTTGACCTGTATCTTCTCCCACTGTCACCCCCTCCCCCAAAAAACTCCCTTATTTTACTGGCTGTCTCTATGGGTTCATTTTTGATGGGTTTCATACACTGAAAACCAGAAAAACATATCACAAAATTTCAAGAGGGCTACCTCCAATGACAAAATACATCAGAGCTAAACCCCAGTAAAAAGAAAAAGGAGAAAATAAAAGGGGGAAGAACACAGAAAATGTTGAAAACCAGATCAGGTCCAACGTGTGTGGGGGTGGGGGGTGGGGGGGAACCAACTGACAAGGGTTTTGCGTTCTGGTCAGGTCTCCTGTTTTGATCATTTCCTTTTCCTTGTCAACAACATTGCTGATGGAAAAATGGGAAGCGCTGGCTCACCTTCCATGCACATTGGTCTCGGGGGCGTGTTCCTTTCTCACAGATAAATTCCCGAGGTCATTTGCTGGACGGTCAGGCTTGCCTCAGCTGGGGGGACATGGGAGCTAGATGGGTCAGCGAGCACCTGCAGGACTTTCTCCTGCAGCCTGGACTCCAGTCAGCAATCTTTTAGAGACGAGCTGCCCCCTTACCCATGGCGCCCCGGGGCTCCGACAGACATTGTTCCCTTTCCATTATCTCTGAAACCAGATGGTCTGTCTTTCAGGTTGGTGTAAGTCACAGAGAGCGGAGTCAGTGTTGGTGGAGGGGCAGTGCAGTGGGAGGTGCTCGTGGGCGGTCTAACACAAAGGGTGTATTCATGCCACCTGTGGGAACATTGGAATCACTCAGAAAATCCTTACCTGTCTCTTCCCTTTCCTGCAGGCCTCTTGGTGGGCACCCTTGATGTCGTATTGGACTCCAGTGCCAGGGTGGCTCCCTACCGGATTTTATACCAGACCCCAGACTCTCTGGTCTATTGGACCATTGCCTGTGGTAAGTACCAGTACATTGAACTATCAGCAGGATACTGTGATTGACAACTTTCTGTTGGAAGGGGGTCAGGGGCCCCTAGTTGCCAGTGGAGTGCAGTCATTTGGGATACTATGGAAACTCAGTTGAGCTCTTTCAACAGACGAACCTGAAATGTCCATAGTTAAGTCAGTGGTCCAAAAACTGTTTTCCCACTCTGGGGAGCTCATCGATAGAGATCATGTGGCCTCTTCCACCCGTAGTGACGGACACACGGTCTCCAACGTTACCTCTCTGAGGGCAGAGTGGGAAGGTGGACAGTGTCCCAGACCACTCCTCCTCGGGGCCTTTTGTCTGGGACAAGTCGCAGGGCTCCAGCCTACCTTCCAGGGAAACTGGGAACTAAAGGGGAGCACACGGAATACTTGCGTGTGCTAAGGAATGC